ACACAGCACCAGCCACTCCCCAACACACTTCCAAGAGCCATGGACTGCCCAACGAAAGAAGAGTTCAGTGAAGAGCAAGCTGAATGTCAGGATGAGTCTAATTGCCCTGACTATTCTTCAGCAATAGCAGAATCCAATTCAGGTTGATACTTAATAAAAACTACGGCATGCTAGTAAGCTGTAGAATATTAGATTTTCCTAGATACACAACTGCCAAGTCACCATACTGTCCCATTTTTATTCTTTACAGAATTACTTTCATTTCAATTTTTGTTTCTTTAATGTCTTTTTTTTATACTGGTCTAGATTTATAGAAGTGCTCAGCATCCACCACTCAAGAAGATTTTCAAAAGAACTCTGCTCTTGTTTAGGCACCTACCAGAAGTGGCTGGATATACATTGGGAACTGTTGTGTGCAAAGCTCTTTTGAAAACTTGGCCCACAGTCTATATTGCAGTCTGTAACCCTTTTTATCACTCCAGAAATTGAGACTAGCAAAACAAATTGAAGTGTAAATTACAACATTTGAAACGGACCACTGGAAAATAGGAACATTTTGCTCTGTGTTGTGTGCAAGAAAATGTGACAGTCTACTTCTATTCCAGACAGTTTTCTTAGATATGTGACAGTTCTTGGCTCTGCACTGTTTAATATTTATCAGTTACTTGGAGGTAAACAAAAATCACTCAAAATTTGCATGACACAAGACTTTAGTAAGGCATTTGATACGGTCTCGCATGATATTCTTATTGATAAACTAGGCAAATATAACTTAGATAGGGCCACGATAAGGTGGGTGCATAATTGGCTGGATAACCATAGTCAGAGAGTTGTTGCTAACGGTGCTAAATCCTGCTGGAAAGGGATAACAAGTGGAGTTCCGCAAGGGTCTGTTTTGGGACCCGTACTGTTCAATATCTTCATCAATGATGTAGATATTGGGATAGCGAGTACGCTTATTAAGTTTGCAGATGATACCAAACTGGGTGGGGTTGCAACTTCTTTGGAGGATAGGGACATAATTCAAAATGACCTTAGCAAGTTAGAGAAATGGTCAGAGGTAAACAGGATGAGGTTTAATAAAGAGAAATGCAAAGTGCTCCACTTAGGAAGGAACAATCAGTTCCATACATACAAGATGGGAAGCGACTGTCTAGGAAGGAGCATGGCAGAAAGGGATCTAGGGGTCATAGTGGACCACAAGTTGAATATGAGTCAACAGTGTGATGCTGTTGCAAAAAAAGCAAATATGATTCTAGGTTGTATCAACAGGTGTGTTGTAAGCAAAACTCATGAAGTCATTCTGCCACTCTACTCTGCACTAGTTAGGCCTCAGCTGGAGTACTGTGTCCAGTTCTGGGCGCCACATTTCAAGAAAGATGTGGAGAAATTGGAAAGGGTACAGAGAAGAGCGACAAGAATGATTAAAGGTCTAGAGAACATGACCTATGAAGCCAGGCTTCATGAACTGGGCTTGTTTAGTTTGGAAAAAAGAAGATTAAGGGGGGACATGATAGCGGTTTTCAAATATCTAAAAGGGTGTCACAAGGAGGAAGGCGAAAATTTGTTCCTCTTGGTTTCTGAGGACAGGACAAGGAGTAATGGGCTTAAAGTGCAGCAGGGGAGGTTTAGATTGGACATTAGGAAAAACTTCCTAACTGTCAGGGTGGTCAAATATTGGAATAAATTGCCAAGGGAGGTGGTGGAATCTCCCTCTCTGGAGATATTTAAGAACAGGTTAGATAGACATCTGTCAGGGATGGTGTAGACGGAGCTTGATCCTGCCTTGAGGGCGGGGGGCTGGACTCGATGAGCTCTTGAGGTCCCTTCCAGTCCTATTATTCTATGATTCTATGATTCTATGATTTTTAACTGTGAATAATTAATCATTGCAACAGTTTACCAAGGATTGTGGTAGCAATATTTAACATTTGATATTTGCCCAAAAGATCTATTCTAGAAATTATTTTGGGCAAGTTCTTTGGCCTGTGTGATACAGGAAGTCAGACTGGTTTAGGGGTGGGCAACCTGTGGCCAACATTTTGTTACCGTTGCCCAAGCACAGGGTTGTCAGATTCTGCTGGTATTCATCCACATAGGGGTTTTTTTTTTTGCTATTGGTATTACTAAAGCGACACGCACTTACAGCAAAGGCAACTGAAATGAAATGCATGCTGATTGCACACAACATTGTGACAGAGGTGCGCTCCCTTTGCATCTAAAGTGCCGCTACAGTTTTACTGGCACACCCTGCAAATTCTAAATATGCAAGCACAGTTAGCAAAACTACCCTATCCCAAGGAACGGTCTTGGTTACAACAACCTTGCAGCCCACTCGCTAGCCTAGATTGCCCATCGCAGGACTAGATGATCACAATGGCCCCCTTCTGGCCTTGAAAGCTATGAATCCCACAGTACAGTTTTCTGTTTTAGGAGTACAAAGAGTTTATGCTTGTCACACTCCACTAGCAGCAGCGTTCCATTTTTCAGTGTCATTAAGGAGGACATTGGGAGAAAAGGCACTTTTTTAACAGGGCAGTATTTGCAATCTGCAGCCATTCTATGCTGGGCTTCACAGATCAAATGAAATGAGTTAAGATAGGAAAATACAGTGTTTGATATTCAGAAGATGACATTCAGAATGCTGACTTTCAAGAGATACAAAACAGAAGTCCAAACCACCTGCAGTTAAAGAATCTGGTGTACTACTTCTGTCCAAACCAATGCTAGCCTGCTACCCCGTCCATAAATGTGCAGTTATACCAGCAACCTAAACACTTCCAAGCAGCCTCATTTCAATATGGTACTAGCATGACTTGCAGCTTCTAATGTGGTTTACCTAAGTTTCAACATGGCGACAGAAACGTATGCCAAAATAGAGGCCAACATTTTTTTTCACCAAGTGAAGGTTTTTTCCTTCACTTTGACTGACAGCTGGCCCACCCGCATTTAGATCCAGGTCTTGCGCACAATGGCTCACTGAGTTGCACGATCAGCTCACTAGAGACCAAGAGAAAAAGCAGCTTTCAGAAAAGCCTTCATAAACATTGTCTTGACTGCAGGCGAGTCTTACAAGTTTTCTTCTCCCAGTTATGCAACAAAGTGCATGTAATATGCTCATATCTACCAAATCAACTATATATTTGAGTATGTGTCTCGCTCTGGGTCTGTTCAAGAACTCCTTCTAAATGGTAAGAGCTAGGAACACATTTGGTGTACAGCTTCCTCTTATAACTTAAAGCAAGGTAAGGGTTTGGTTGTGCCAGGAAACATTATTTTCTGAATGGTTGTCTGAGAAGCAATCACCAGGCAGGTAGAAAGGGGCTGGCTGGCTGGGGGTGCCCCCCACCCCATTTGCAACTGCCCTAGCTCAGAGTCTCCCACCCCCCAGGCACCCTTTAGGGAGGGCAGGATGTGTGGGCTAAAGCTGCTCCTCCCCATCCCCATTCAGTCAGCAACATTGTTGGCTATTTCCTCTCACTCCCTGACAAAAGGGAAGTGCAGTTTGCTGCATTCCTCACTCTGGCTGGGGAGCAGTGGACAGATGAACCTGGACCTGCCCCAGATGTGGGACTTGTACCCCTCCCTCAGCAGTACCTGCTGCAGCTGAGAGAGATCTGTGGTTGTCCTCTCTCCCCAGGGCAGCCTGCCTATTGAACCCCTCATCCCAGCCTCACCAGAGAGCAAGGATTTAAATAAAGAATGGGTATTTCCAGTTTATTTAAAAAACAAGTAACTTGAGTTAAGGATGTGAGCAACACTGGGTAAATCCTCTAGTAATAATATTTGATCTTTTCTCTCACAGAATCACCAAGAATTCTTAAAATACTACAGAAGTGGGTTCCTACAGTTTCTCCCTATTTTGACAAGGAGCATTATTGTTATGCAGACAGCCAAATCACTATTCAAGAATCAATAGACCACTTTGGAGCTATCGTATGGCCTGGTGTAAGTTTTACCTATGTATTGTAATCAAGTAAGAAACACATCACAAAATAAATGAACAAATAGGACATTGGAACAGAAGTGAAATGAAAATAATGCTCTGTGATTAACAGCCATATTGTTCACTTACTGTCAGGCTTCCACCAGTGCAGAATAAAGGTAACCACTTGAACAAGGATCTCTAGCTTATACCTCTCTTACTGCCACTTTGGGCCCAAACTGTGAAATAGTAATAAATGATTAACCTGTAAGTCCTTTATAAAACTGCGCCCCCCTCACCCATTTGAAGAGTGCAGGGAACTGCCACTTCTATTTGTTGATCATATGAAGTAGTATGGGTGCAGACATTAAATCAGAAGGAAAACTGGGAAGATGTGTTTTGTTCTCTCTCAACATCTTCAGTCAGTCACTGGCGGGAAGTAAGCACACCCAGTAAGAACAAACAAAGGGAAACAGAAGTAAGACTGAAAAGATCCCATCGCATAGCATTTATACAAGAACTGGACAATTTATTTAGAGCAGACTTGAGCAACTTCATCCCAAACAGTCAGTGCAGAGGCTTGAAGCCCGTTTTATCCAGGATATTACCTGGAACCAGGAACCACATCTCACTGCTCAGTTACTGGACAAGCAGCACCATCGGTCTTATTTAAAAATGAGAGAACTAATTTGTTGCTTTTTCTGAATTTCCTTTTGCACTATATATTTGAGTATGTTCAGTCTAAGTAAAATACTCATTAGAAAAATGGTTTTCAATTATTTAATGAACTGCTGCAGGGCCATTAGCAAATTAATACTTTATGGATATATTTTAACTGTTCTTAGGCACTGGCTTTATCTCAGTACCTGGAATCAAATCAACAAGAGCTCAACCTAAAAGACAAAAAGGTACTCGAAATTGGTGCTGGAACAGGACTGGTGTCCATTGTGGCTAGTATACTAGGTTAGTAAACCAATTAAATTCTAGTATTTCTACATCCTCACCTTCAAATACATCAATTGTGAGGTGGCAACTACACCAACACTGTAGTCACTGAAATAACTACAGTTAAAACTTAAGCAATTATGACTCTTTGGCTCAAAAGTCTTCAGGGGTTGTGTAAACTGCCCCTTAGTTTGGAGTACAGGCGTGTGCACCAAAATGCTGCACCATAACTCCCTGTAAAGATGCTCTGGATGCAGACTAAAAGGTGCCTAGTTTGGAGATGAATACATTAACATGAACTAAGAGCTATTTAATTTGAGCCTGTAGCATAACATGCAGCATTTTGGGACACTGAAGATGTGCGTCCAAATACTCTTTTATGAGTTACCCAATCCAGGGACAGACAGACAGACAGACAGACGAGTGAGTATGTATGTGGGGCAGAGGGGAGAAGGGGAGTTTGTCTGTTGACTGAATGACGACCAGAGAGTGAACAACCACTACCAAAATTGATAATTGGGGAAAAATGGTAGGTTTATACAAAAAAAACCCAACACAATCTGCATATTCTCTTTAGGAGCTTATGTTACAGCCACTGATCTACCAGAAGTACTTGAAAATCTCCAAATGAATATTTCAAGAAATACAAAACATATGAATATACACCAACCTGAAGTGAGGAAGCTCGTGTGGGGAGAAGATCTCAACGAAGACTTTCCTAAATCAACTCACCATTATGATTTTATTTTGGCAAGTGATGTTGTCTATCACCATACATGTCTGGATCCATTGCTAACAACACTGGCATATTTATGTCAGCCAGGGACAGTATTATTATGGGCAAACAAATTCAGATTCAGTACAGATTTTGAGTTTTTAAAGAAACTTGGCAACATATTACTCGTTACACTTCTAGCAGAATTTCCAGAATCAAATATTAAGCTGTTTAAAGTCACAGTAAAAGAGAACTGAGAAAACAATAGTTTTGGTGCAATAGCAGTCCCTCAAAGTTAGAGTTCTCTAGTTTTTAGTACTTAGTGCACTCATTGCGCATGCATGTCCATAAGTCTGTTCCTGAATCTCGTACTTCAATACATGAAAAGTTAAAATGGACAATAATAATGTGAGGATGAGATCTGATTGGTCTCATAAGCTTATATAAAGATCTAATCAAGCAAATCAATTTATTGCAGCCAGAGGGTCAGAAGTAACGAAACACAACCAGAAAGTCAATCTCCAAAATGTCAAACAAACTATTGGATCTAGCTGTACTTTTATATCTTGTTTATACTGAATTTCAATATGATTACTAACACAGAACTTGTTAAAGCAAACAGCTTATGTACTCTTCAAGAAGCAACAACAGTTTTCAGCTTCATTATTTGTTTTTATTAATTATTAAAAAATCCTTTAAAGTATCAGAGTGCACATGGTGGTTTTTTTTACTTTCAATTTTGCACATTTATTATGCTGTGTTTTACATTTTTAAACATTATTAAACATTTGTATGTATAGCTTTACAATACCTGATTAACTGTCTGGCACTTTTATACCTGTATCAGTCCAACCTGATACTCAACTTCATATGGATTTTTGAAAGTTTGCCTGAAATATCTCCAAGACAAAGATTTACAAGAGCACCTATGTATCAGTAATTCTGAGGATACACACAGAGACTGTTTGAAAGGTTGTTTTTTAAAAAAAAATCATAATGTAATGTAAACTCTTGCAAACAGTATAGGTAATGGAGTTCCATTACTTTACAGTCTAATAAATAAAATTTTAGCTACTCAGATGTAGCTTTAAGGCCTTCATACAATTGAAAAGGAAATTAAGATTAAACATGTTAAAACCCTGTTCACTGTAAAAAAAAAAAAAAAAATATAGAGAGAGCTTTTACAGGTTTGCAGTTAAAATTAACAGTTAAGAACCTAACATGCATGCAAGAAATCTTTTCCAACCCAATTTCAAATCCTTGGTGCTGGCAAGTCCGGCACATCCATTGCCAGCAATGGGATGTACGCTAAGTAAACTTCCTGATGTTAGGAGTCAGTTTAACAGGTATTAAGCCACACCAGGGTGCCTTTCTGATAAATATACACAAATTTAATAATCAACATTCAGTATTTGATGAAGACATGCGTTCCAATTAAAAAGGTAAAACTTATCTTTTCTATCCTGTCAATATAAAAACCATCTTCATGTTTACAACTGTTGGTATTTCAGAACAAGCAATAATCAGGTGGATACATGACAGGAAGCCAGTTTTCAGAAAAAGATGCACAATGGGTCCATCCAAGTAACTTCATTAGCTAAAGAAAAATAATTGATAAACAGACAATTATATTATATTCTTGACACTTTAGCACACAAAAGAATGACACATGATATCAAATGCCACAATACAGATGTAAAAAGCATAACATGACTGTTTCTGGACTTCTAAACATACAGTTTGTAGGGAATGGTTTTAGTTTTTGAAGACTGGTTATTTAGATTTGAGATTAGGTCAACAAAACATTGCCTTATGCAACATAAGAATCCCAGTAAAACAGAGGCACTTTTCTTTTTATATAGACTGAATCTCTATCCCTGCATCCTTGGGACCAAACCAGTGCTGAACCAGAGAATTTGTTGAAACACAGAAGGTCAATACTGTCTAGAAGCATTACTAACACTTCCACTGCTTACTGGGCTCTTGGAAGATATTTAGGGTTAAATTGGAGCTAAACAACAGCACAAAACACTACAAGTCAGGATTGGTGGCTGTAAACAAACTTTGTGTGACTGCAGAAAACTTGGCAACACGCATCACAAGTGGGCATCCAGCTAACTAAAATTTTACTGGACCATGGATATTGCTGGACCAGAGAGGTTCACTTGTTTTGAATAACTGTATAGTTAATTTAGCGTTAGATAAGCAAAATGGCTTTCATCCTTCATTTTCTCTTTGATATTCAACTTTAAGAACTTTAGAATTCATGTACAGTAAAACTCCATTAGTCCGGCATCCAATGCTCTGGCACCATCAGGAATCCGGAAGTGCTGGGGCAGCCAGACAGGCTTCTAGAGAGGTTCACTTGTTTTGAATAACTGTATAGTTAATTTAGCGTTAGATAAGCAAAATGGCTTTCATCCTTCATTTTCTCTTTGATATTCAACTTTAAGAACTTTAGAATTCATGTACAGTAAAACTCCATTAGTCCGGCATCCAATGCTCTGGCACCATCAGGAATCCGGAAGTGCTGGGGCAGCCAGACAGGCTTCTCCCATTCAGCCGCTACTGAAACTGACCAGCAGCTGAACTGGGGAAGCCAGGAGCAGAGCAGCTGGGGTGCTGCCGGGTTGGTCTCGTAGCGCTGCCCCTGGAGGCTGCAGGACCAACCCGGCAGGACCGCACCTGCTCTGCCCCAGGGGTCCCCGATTCAGCCGCTGCTGAAACAGATCCCGTCCTTTGACGCTGGCGGGCCCACCCCGCCCG